AGTAAATCCTGTGAGAAACAGATAAATTGCTTTAAGGACTTAACGAACCAACATACAGTCGGAGACATATATATATATATTATGTAAATAGATATTTAAAGGTTCTGATGTAACCTCAGCAGCAATTCCTCTTAGCAGTAATTAGAAAGAAGTTATTTTTATGTTTAGACCAACAAAACATGAAAATCCAATTTCGTGGATCTTTATTGGTCGTTTGGAGCTCAGTTAATTTTAGAAACATGTTCGATTCCACTAAAATGGTTAGATAGGCGGCGGATGTTTATGACTGGTTCCCTTCCATTCAGTCAGCAGTTATAAAACAGTGATGGATAGGCCTGAATTTCTGGGGGGGACTCTGATCTAACATGGCCTGATGGTTAGTGCGCTCGACGCGCTATCTGCTGGTCGTGGGTTCAAATACCCGTCTCTGAACATGCTCACCTTTTCAGCCGTGGGAGCGTTATAATGTGTCGGTCAATCTCAATATTCGTTGGTAAAAGAGTAATCCAAGAATTGGCGGTGGGTGGTGATGACTAGCTACCTTCCTTCTAGTCTATCACATCTAAATTAAGGACGGCTAGCGCAGAAAGTACTAGAATAACTTTGCGAAAAATTCAGAACAAAACAACCAAGTTGACTTAGCTATTTAGCCATGTGTCGCACAAGGTGTTAAACACCAAAATACTGTTCTTTAGTACGTCTATTTTTTCGTAAGAGCCACATTAAAAACATACACAAATTCAATATCTTTTACAGATCTTTGTAGTAGATAAAAACGTCTGTTCTCGTTATTTAGTATCAGGGACAAAAAATAAGCTTATTAAAACTTTATATTCATTCACCCTATTGAAGATTTGGTAAAGTGTACCCAATGGGCATAGCTAATTAAATATAATATTCAAGCTATGTTACCTATAATGATCACAGCGCATTGTTTCTTTCATTGATGAAAGTGATACATGTATTTAGAAAATAACTTTTCTGTTGAAAAAAAGGACAGTCAAATCCTGAAACATTTTGTAAAAATAAATTAAAAACTCTGCATTTTGTGCTAATTGAGAAAGACAACAAATTCTTGATGTAGTAGAACAGATGTAAGATACAGTTTCGAGCATAGGTGCTTGAAAGAAACAACAGCAAATAAAAACTTTTAGCAACTTTCTCCGAGTTAAGAAAAAGAAAATCTAGTAATTTATTTCTCTATTCACTGAACCTTATAGATCCAGGTTTGTCTGAATGTTTGTATGTCTGTCCCTGTTGATTTATCGACCGTGATGCTAGTCTCCTTACGTGATTTCGCTCTACAGTCTAGCCCAACTCGTTCGCGGACATAAGTATTGCAATCACGCATCTACGTTCAACAAGAAGTACAGGCCAAGCGTTTCTTTTCACTTTAATGGATATATATATATATAAAGAAATATAGTTTATAGTTAAAAATAATTCATTTATAGTTTAGCTCTTCACATAAAAAACGAAACACATTGTTATATCTGACTGCCGGTGTCATTTTTCTGTATGCTTTACTCATAGAAAATCATATTATAATGTACACTACTGGTGCCCCAACTCGTCTAAGTTGTACCCAGGAGTTAATCGTATTATAATGTACACTACTGGTGCCCCAACTCGTCTAAGTTGTACCCAGGAGTTAATCGTATTATAATGTACACTACTGGTGGCCCAACTCGTCTAAGTTGTACCTAGTAGTTAATCGTATTATAATGTACACTACTGGTGGCCCAACTCGTCTAAGTTGTACCCAGTAGTTAATCGTATTATAATGTACACTACTGGTGCCCCAACTCGACTAACCAGGAGATAATCGTATTATAATGTACACTATTGGTGCCCCAACTCGTCTAAGTTGTACCCAGGAGTTTTAGAGATGACAAGTGATTATTTTTATCTCTTACAAAAAGACAAAAAATAAATGTGATGTTTAATTCCTTCAAGCAGTAATTAGGCACCTAATTTGAACCTTAATTTTAAAAGCTTTAATTGGGGTCAAATTTCCTTAAAACATCCTCATCTCCTCAGTGTGAACTCTATTAGTGGGTTGGTGATGTGATCTGCTACTGTGCTGCTTGTGGCCTCGCGCTTTGCACTAATAGCAATGTTGTGATTGTTCTTGAATAAACAAGGTGTCATTATTTGTGGTTTCGGTTTGTATATAGTTTTTTCTTTTCAAGACTCACCCCCCCCCCCTCCCCAGTGGGTCAGCAGTAAGTCCGAAGGCTAAAAACAGGGTTTCGATACTCGTGGTGGACACAGCACAGATAGCCCATTGTTTAGCTTTGTACTTAACAACAAACAACAACTTTTCAGGACTGTTCAATGGTGTATCTACGGCTCAACAACAAACAAACAAAACTTTTCAAGACTATTTATTAATGGCATGAAACATGAATTACAAAATGCTTTGTCCAAATATATATAATTTGTCTATGCTGCAATCTTATCCAGAACTGAAACACAGGACTTTCTTCTTCAAATACGATCTCAGGCGTACGATAAATCCTACTTAATGTACAAAATAATGATGGTTTCAAATATAAAAATTAATGTAGAAACATACAGACAGCCGTTCTACGTGCACCTTTTCTTTGTCGTAATATTTAATTACGTATTCTCATATATTTTTTTTTTTATGGCAAAGGGCGGTTTAAATATTGTAAACGTTGATTGGATGCAACTTGTATACAGAAGACTTGTCCTTTTCTTCAGAAAGTCCGTGATTTTTACTAATTGAAAGAAGAAACTTAACTGTTCGGAAATAAATGTTTAGCGTGTCCGTCTTGATGCTATGGAAATAAGCTATAACTTAGCCTGATTAGTAATATAGTATATGTATACTGTTTCTGTAAGCGTTATTAGACGTGAACAATGGTCACATCCAGTATGTTCACTGTGCAAACTGAAGTATCTTTTGAAGAAGGTCAAGAGCGGTTTTAGAGGTCTTGTGGCTACGGACCATATCATTGGTCAGCAATATTAGGCGAAGTGTTTGTTTCTTTGTTTTGACAAAGCTACTGTGGCTATCTGTCACCCTCCCTAATTTTAAACAGCCAAGAAAAAGGAAGGCAACTGGACGGTAGCAGCCACCACCACCACCACTTCTTGCGCTATTGTTTTTACAAATGAATAATTAGATTGACCATCTCGTTATAACAGCCCCACGGTTGAAAGGATGAGCATGTTTGGCTGTGGGTTTCGATCCCGCAGCCTGCAGATTGCGATTCGAGCGCCTTAATCATCAGGTCCCATTATATCAGTAATGGTAATACTCAGTTCTTGTCTGTCCTGAAAATGCTCATACGCGCTCACTTAGTTTCAACGTATGTAAACAAAAAGCGGACGTAAATATGCCTTATTATACGTTTTGTACAACAACATACTAAAAGCTTATCAAAGCTTTTAAAAAGGTCTAACTTTAGGTCGTAGAATAACATTACAAGTTATTTATTGATAATATTAAGCTTGATAAAGTTTAGCCCTAACTAACCTAAGGCTAAAAACGCGCACAAGTTACAATATTAATCTATCGGGTATCGAGCACTGTAAGCCTTGAGCCGCAGAGGAGTGTGGGGGTGGAGGTTCCACAAAAAAGGTTAGAGCATGGTTTGAAAAATTCTTAATGTTGTGTTAACTTTGTTTCATATATATTTATTACTATTTTCTATTCACCATATTTTGCGGTCCAGCGGCAAATCTGGGGGCTTACAACGCTAAAAACCGGGTTTCGATACTCGTGGTGGGCAAAGCACAAATAGCCCAGAGAGGCCATATTTCATTTGCTTGTTTGTTTTGA